AAAAAAAAAAGAGCTGGGTGTGGTGGCACCTGCCTGTAGTTCCAGCTACTTGGAAGTCTGAGGCAGAAGAATCACCTGAGCCCAGCAGGTCAAGGCTATGGTAGCTATGAGCATGCCACTGCACTCCAGCCTGGGCAACAATGAGACTCTAACTCAAAAAATAAATGAAATAAAATAAGACAGGCGTGGTGGCACTTACCTGTAGTCCTGGCTACTCAGGAGACCAAGGCAGGAGGCTCACTTGAGCCCAGGAGTTAGAGGCTGCAGAGAGCTATGATTGTGCCACTGCACTCCAGCCTAAGCAACAAAGCAAGACTAATCTCTAAAGAATGAATGAATAATGCCTTCTCTCTTTGCTCTACAACCTTCTCTTTATGAGGGTTTTTGGGGTCTTGATTGACAGCTAAATATTTTTGATGAATTAGTTGTGAATGCAAAGTAAGCATTTTGCAAACATCTACCTTTTAATTAAAGGTGAGGTCTTGTCAAGTTGCCTGGGCTGGTCTTGAACCCGGGGGTTCAGGCAATCCACTCGCCTCAGCCTCCCAAAGGGCTGGGATTAAAGGCTGAGCAACCGAGCCTAGCCAATCCTTTTATTTATTGTAGAAACGAGGTCTTGCCAAGTTGCTCTGGTTGACCTTGAACCCCTGGGATCAGGCAATCCTCTCACCTTGACCTCCCAAAGTGTTGGGATTATAGGCTTGAGTCACCGTGCCTGGCACCTGTCTAATTTTAAAATAAGTTTGTGTAGCAATGAAGTCTTACTATGTTGTCCAGGCTGGACTCAAACTCCTGGCCTCAAGCAATCTCCTGCCTTGGCCTCCCAAAGTGCTGGGGATGTAAGTGTGAGCTATTACACTGGGCTGAGAGAAGGCTTTAGAGCCAGATGACTTTGGTATGAAACCACATTTATTTTCCATTCCCAGCTCCATTGTTCACTAACTGTGTGGCTTTGGGCAAGTCCCTCCACCTTGCTAAGTTTCGGTTTGCTCCTCTGTGAAACTTCATCCATCTACAGGGCTGTTGCCACGTCTAAAAGTTTCTGTGCTGTGCCAGGCTTAATCGTCTTTGAGTGAATGGTAGCTGTTCTTGCAGTCATCACTCTCCCCACCCCTGAGCAGGTAGTGGTAAGTCTCACAACCTCTCTTCCAAACTCATCGATCTGTCCCCTCCAGCTCCCTCAATGTGGCTTGAGCAGATGGAATTGAGAGACTCAAGTCTTCGGTGTGTATATGTTGCAAAATGACCCGGTCCTTATGCAGTTATGGTCGTCCCCTGTTTTCTGCATTACTTTTATACGTGGTGAAGCCCCGCCCCAATTTTCCTCTCTTGAATGAGCCAGAAAACTTATTCTCTCTAGGGATTTGGTGGTGACCCCTCTGATGACTCTGTTTCATTTGGCTTCAACTCAATTAAAAAGTGCAGGAAATATAGAAAAACTCATGAACTACAGCAGTTATTTCTATTCATCATGTATTTGGCTTCTCTGGGTCACCTTCTACTCAGGTGTTTTTGGTGCTGCTGTTCATGTAATGGGGCTTTTATAAAACTGAGAGTGAGGCAAATCAAGAAAGCAGAAAATTCAAAGCTGTGATTACTAGAGTCCAGGCCACCACATGTTTAATGTAGTCTTGTTTCACAGCATAAATGTATAATCAGGGCTAACAGAGGTGCAATATATCATATTAATATACACTGAAGCAAAACCGCTGAGCACTCCACATGTAGGTGAGGAAGAGTTACAGCTGGCTGACTTCTGAGTGGTTTCATTTTTAACTATGATGGGACAGGCAGGTATCTTTTCCATGGCAATTTCCTTCTGTTCTGACTACTGCAGTAGTGTCTAATGCAACTCAAACATCAGGATGTCTTGAACCAGAAGATAATTTCTGCTGATAGCCATGTGCTTTACTAGGCCTGCATTTTAAGGGGCTTAACATTCATGTGCCAGGTACTTTACATGGGTTATCTCTTTTCATCGTCACAACAGCCTTAAAAGATCAATGTGAATTATTGCACCCTGTTTCAGAGATGAGAAAACCAAGGCTCAGAGATGTGGGATGACAGCAAGATTCGAACCCAGGACTGTCCAGTTCCAAAGGTCATGTCACATCCTCCTCATTGTATCACATTGGCTTCCCACGTTCAGGGATCTGTATTTTGCTTATAAAAGTCAGGTGAAGATTTAATGTAATAGAAGTTTGGCATCTAGTTATTTTTGTTCCATAAATAAAATTTTGCACCATCATAAATAGGTTCAGACTTAAAATATATGGCAAGACAGGCTGAAGGATGAGACTTCTTTGTTCCCTTGCACTCAGTGGGGAGGCAAAAGTCGCCTTCATCTCCATTCTAATTACCCAAAACCTCTTATCTGTAGTGTCACAGTTCATAATAATTAATTGTCATGCCGGAGGCATTGTGACATGCTTGATGGAGCCATGGTGTGCTATGTACACAGAGTAATTAGCAATCATTAGTGGTGGGGACGGAAAGTTCCCGATGGTTTCATTCAAACTTTCATTTAGTTAAGTTTATCTCTGTGTTCTTTGTGCATAAATGTAGTTCAGCAAATCAGGTTTTAGCTTAATCGTTTTAGGAAGGATTGGAGTGGAGGTGACAGGAAGAAATTCTTTTTTCTTTTGTCTTTATCTACGGGTAATGAGCTTCTCTCCTAAGAATTTGCATATATAGTTCCTGACCATTAGTTAGCATCATTAGCTTTAAATATAGATAATGTTAAACATTGTCAAATCAAATTACAAATATAAAATGTCAGTAGTCTTCCAAAGGAGATCGGGGAAGGGTGTCTAGAGCTGGAAACTCACTTAGTAGTAAAAATTAGGACTCTTTTTGGGTAGGCTGCCCTCCAGAAAACCATGGAAAGTGTGTCAGATTTTGACTCTTTGTGAAGGTTATACCTCCCTTCATCCTCTGCAGCAAAAATGATTGAAATGACCTTGACTTAGAGGTGACAAGTAATCATATAAATAAATATATTTTGTAAATGGAGAAGGGCAAGAACACAGCAAACTTTTGAGGTGTTTCTTAAGGAAAAAATAAGAGAGGCCGTTGAAAAAACATAAAACTGACTAAAAACAGGTCTGCACACCTCAGTCAATCTATATGAACATATGGATAAGTACAATAAGACGAATTTCCATATTCCAGAGAGTCGATATACATAGCATACATTTAAAAACAAGGCAACTGTGGATGTTCTGCAAAATACCTCGATAGCCACCTTTTCCAGCCCTTGTGTCCTTATTAGAAGGAGCTTCTCAGCTTTTTGACAGGCAAACTCCATTCCTGATAGCACCACCCGACCCCAAACCCCAAGGAGGGAAAGAAAAATGTGGTTGCTGTCCTCTGTGAGGAAGCTGGTTTGTTTGGGTAGGAAATCAGATGATGTGCAGGTATCTTAGGGAGACTGAGTCTTAGAGCTGGAACCTCTAGGGAGGAAGGTTTCCATGGTAGCAAATGACCTTCCAGGTGTGGATGCACCACTGCAAACCTACAGCCAGGGAGGGAAGGTACAACCTTTCCACCATCCCTTTCACAAGCACCGAGCCCTTTTACCTCCATGTATAATTAGATTTTAATTCAGCTGGGGCCTGGCCGTTCCCCAGTGGCTTTATGTACAAGCTAAGACAGATCAAAGAGAGAGGAGGAAGTCAGGCTGATAAAGTTAGGGTAATATTGGGCAGGTTGAGAACCTGTGCTCTATTGGGAAACTCCCGTTGAAGGCAGCAAAGGAAGAGGGGTGACAGACTGCAGGCAGAAGGTGGGTGGACAACCTACCTGCGGGAGGATGCCCCCCTTTCAGCGGGGAGAGCGGATCCTGTACTTCGTTTGCCATAGTGCGTGCCAAGTGCCAGTGCTGGTGTGCTGGAGGCCAAGTGCCAGCTGTGGCTGCCCCACCACACCCTGGCTTTATACGGGCAGGGGGCAGGGCCCCTTAAGGGCATTGCTGAGCAGCAACAGGGCTTGTCACCCAGCTCTCTGGAAACCCGCATCTCCTCGGCAGGTTTTCTCTTAGAAAAAAACTTTCTTCTTCCCTTCATCTGGGAAGGCAAGGCAGATGACTACAAGAGACAGGAAATTCTTATTTTCTTTCACAAGAGGAAAGGGAAAGGAGAAGTACAGGAGAGTTCTTTTTCTCTTCAATTTTATCCCTCAAGTATGTACAGTGCACCCACAATGTGACAGGCTTTTGTCATATTTTGGCATGACAAGGACAGCAAGACCAAATCTTTACTTTAGGACATCTGTAGTCTTTTTGAAGAGACAAGTATAGAACAAAGTGCTATGCCTTTGTCCCAGGTTTTGTGATTATAAGCATTTATACTAAGAAAATAATTGGAGATGTATACAGAGATTTATGTGCAAAGATCCAGAGAATAATCATATTTTTTCCCTTTCAGTATTGACGGGAACCCACATAAACATCTCTAAATACAGAGGGATAATTAAGATAAATTAAGATATAGGCCAGGCTCGGTGGCTCAGCCTGTAATCCTAGCACTTTGGGAGGTCAAGGCGAGTGGATCGTCTGAGCCGCAGGTTTGAGACTAGCCCAGGCAACTTGGTGAGACCTCATCTTTAAAAAAAAAAAAAAAAAAAATTAGCTGGATGTGGTAGTGCGTGCCCCTAGTTCCAGCTTCTTGGAAGACTGCGGCGAAGGATCGCCGGCACCCCCCCCGTCGACGCCGGGGTGGCCAAGAGTGTCCCCCCCCACTCCGCCTGGCCAACAGAGTGAGACTCCAACTCAAAAAAAAAAAAAAAAAAAAAAATATATATATATATATATATATATATATATTTATAGCTATGAGAATACTATGTACATATAAATAATATTTTCAAATAAATTCAATGATGTAAAAATATTAATGATAAGATAGTAAAAAAAGTAGGTTAGAAACCAATAGATGCCAATTTTTTTTTTTTTTTTTTTTTTGGTGAGTTGGAGTCTCTGTTGCCCAGGCTGGAGTGCAGTGGCACACTCACAGCCGCCCCAGCATTGACCCTCTGGGCTTCGGCAATCCTTTTGCCTCAGTCTTCCAAATAACTGGAACTACAGGTGTGCACTACCATGCCTGGTTAATTTTTTTTTATTGTTGAGACGAGGTCTCGCCAAGGTGCCTGGGCTGGTCTCGAACCCTCAGACTCAGGCAGTCCACATGCCTCAGCCTCCCAAAGTGCTGGGATTACGGCTGAGCCAATGAGCCCAGCCAGATGCCAATTTTTTTAAAAAGAAAAAGTACACATTTAAGTGTAGACATTATTGTACTCCAATGCCAATCAAAGTTTAACATATGGCAGATACTTAGAGATATTTCTTTGTTTTTCAATACAATGAAAAACTTCTCTTCAAAAATCACTAGTGAGAAAATGAAGATAAACTACAATGTGGGAGAAAATATTTGTAAAATACGTGTCTGATGAAGTACCAGTATTCAGAATATAGAAAAATTTCTTACAACTCAGTAATAAAAAAGCAGACAACCCAATTAAAAAATGGGCAAAAGATTCAAACAACAATTCACAGAGTAAAGATATTGACAACAAAGAAGCACATAAAAAACATGCTCAACATCATTAATCATTAGGGAAATGCAAATTAAGGCCACACTAAAATACCACTACATATGTATTAGAATGGCTGAAGTTAAAAAAAAAAAGAGGAAAATGCAAAATGCTGGTGAGGATGCAGAGCAACTGAACTCCCATATGTTGCTGCTGGGAATGTAAAAAAAGAAAAGGCACTTTGATAGTTAGATTGGCAGTTTTTTATCGAATCCAACCCATACTATCTATAACTAGCAACCTAATTGTTAGGAATTTTCCCAAGAGTAATGAAAATACATGTACACACAAAAATTCATGTGCAAATGGTTATAACAACTCTAGTCATAATTGCAAAAAGTTAGAAACAACCAAAAAGTTCATCAACTGTAGAATGGATAAACAGATTATGGGTATATCCTCATTGGAGAATACTACTTGGTAATAAAAAGGAACATACATTGGTATGTTGAATGCAGCCACCACTACAATAAATAAATAAATGTATGTTTATTTATGTATTTGAGTTGGAGTCTCATTCTATCACGCAGGCTAGAGGGCAGTGGCACGCTCCCAGCCACCGCAGCCTTGACCTACTGGGCTCAGGCGATCCTTCTGCCTCAGCCTCCAAGTAGCTGGAACCACAGTCACATACCACCATGCCCGGCTAATTTTTTTATTTATTGTAGAGATGAGGTCTTACCAAGTTGCCCAGGCTGATTTCGAACCCACAGGCTCAGGCAATCCTCTCACCTCAACCTCCTAAAGTGCTGGGATTATAGGTATGAGCAACCACTCTCGGCCTGTAAAATATATTTTAATAAACAACCAAAATATCTATTTGTTAAATAGATGAATGGAACTACTCCAAAATACAGGTGCATGGGGAAGGTATTAATGTCTACCCACACAAATTAGCAGAAGAAAGTGCTGTGCTACGATGAAAGTGATGTATGATTTTGAAATATGATTAATGTCTTGAATGTTATATACACATATTATCCTTGCATTTAAAAGACAAAAAGCTCTCTGGCAACCTCAACCTCATGAGAATCCATTTTACTAGGCTTTTAGCATTACGAAGCACAATCCCAAGTACTTTGGTCCTAGCATGAACTACTCTCTTGTTGCAGTCAACTAGACTAATACTGTTTTTAAGTGAGCTTTATACCTGTTGATTTTTAAATTTTCTTTCAGTTATTCTGTATTACTTCTTATTTTTATTTTAAATTTTTAAAATTTTTATTTTTTAGAGACAGGGTCTTACATTGTTGTCAGGCTCGAGTGCAGTAGTGTAATCATAGCTCACTGCAACCTCGTACTCCTGGGCTCAAGCAATCCTCCAACTTCTACCTCCAGAATAAGTGGGAATACAGGTGCATGCCACCACACCTGGTTTATTTTCTATTTTTTTTTTTTTTTTTAGAAAGCAGGATTTATTGAGAGGACAGAAAAGCTCCCACAGTGGGAGGGGACCGCAGCAGGTTGCCCATTTTCTCCTTTTTAAGAGATGGTATCTTGCTGTGTTGTTCAGGCTGGCCTCAAACTCCTGGCCTCTAGCAATTTTCCCTCCTTGGCCTCCCAAAGTGCTGGGATTATAGGTGAGAGCCACCACTCCTGGACTGTATTACTTTTTAAATCAGTAAAAAATCTAATAAAAGTTTTTTGGGGAGAAAAGTATGCTTGTGCAGAGGTAGAGACATGTTTAGGGAGTAAAGAGAAGGGAACATTCATATCATCCATCAAATATTTTGTTAGTAGTCCTCCATGTAGGGCTCTGGACTAGAAACCAGGGTTCAGGGATAACAAACCCCCTTCCCTGCTTTTGGTAAATCTCACAATCTCATGGGGGATGTGGAAGAGATGAGAAAAGGTTAAGAGGATTTCTTCTATGGTTGACAAGGTTTACTGTGGCATTATTCAATAGAAATTTCTGCAACAATGGAAATGTTCTGTATCTGCTCTGATCAATACGGTAGCCACAAGCTATGTGTTCATTTGAGCACTTGAAGTATCTCTGGTGCAATGGAGAAAGTAAATTTTTAATTTTACTTAAAATTAAACAGTTTCAATAAATATAAATAGAAATAAAAATGGCTACATGTGGCAAGTAACTATGGTATTGGACAGTACAGGTCAGTAGCATAAAACCTAGATGCGTGATTGTTGTGTAGAGCTCACTGATTATCCTCTGTATCTGCAAGTAGCAGAAGACACAGAAAATCAGAAGCAACTACCCCATAGGAGAGTCTGCATTTAGGATGGCCTGACTGATGTGGAGGCATGAACTCTTGAATCAGAAGACAACGCATACCCAAGCAAAGACGCCTTTCCGGGGGCAAATGCTTGTTAAGTTTACCATGAAGTCAAGTTAAACAGGCTTCCTTTTTGCATCATTCACATGCAACGCCTTCAAAACGTGGATATATGTTATGAACCTCCATGGGAGGATTTAGTAGACAACATTTGCAGAGTTTTTTTTTCATCATGGGAATCTGTGTTCTCATGGACCTGAATGAAAAATCCTTAAAATTTGGACTCTTTTTTTTTTTTTTTTGAGTTGGAGTCTCCCTCTGTCACCCAGGCTAGAGTGCGGTGGCACACTCATGGCCTCCGCAGCCTCCACATATTGGGCTTAGGCAATCCTTCTGCCTCAGGTTTCCAAGTAGCTGGAACTACAGGCATGTGCTACCATGCCCAGCTAATTTTTTTTCTCTTTTTTGAAATTTATTGTAGAGACGAGGTCTTGCCAAGTTACCCAGGTTGGTCTCAAAACCCTGGGCTCAGGCAATACTCTCGCCTTGGCCTCCCAAAGTGCTGGGATTACAGATTTGAGCCACCGTCTAAAATTTGTGCTCTTGAAATCCAAGTTGGAAAATTCTGATCTGGTGATGGGCTTGATGGTGTCTAGGAGGTGATGATGAAAGAGAAGTAACCAAGAACGTATGAAGGATATAATAATAAGAACTCACAGAACATCCCCTCTCGATTCTACTCCCCCTAACCCTAAACATTTAGCATGAACATCCTGGACTAATAGGTAATATGCTAACTTGTTTTCCTTTTAACCTCAAATGGAAAACATCAAAAAAGTCTATGACAGGACTGTTAAAGATATATACAAGAGGGGTAAAAGCCGGGCTCGGTGGCTCAGGCTGTAATCCCAGCACTTTGGGAGGCTGAGGTGAGTG